CACCTTTCTCTAAAGAATTTTTGCAAGTGGTAAAATGGGTAGAAACCTCTCCCAATACAATGAGACAGGATTTCAACCACATGTTTGGATACCACAAACTTAATTTACATAACAATATAATATTGTATACTCTTCTTGTTGGCATAGATCTTTCTTAATTTATAGTGCAGACAATGCAGTTATATAGATGAAGAGGAAATATTCGGATATAATTTTCATTAAATCACAACGGTGTGAATAGAATTTACCCAAAAAAAAGGCATTTAATTTTTTTTTTTCACTTAATAATTGGTCATTGTTAAAATGATTGATTAGAATTGTTTGGAGGCAATGGAGGGTATAATTAATATTGATGATCCTTGCATGTTATGAGAGATATTTTATGGACATTAAAATTATTCGAGTTAAAGATTGGCGTGCTCGCATTACCCATATCCATTGTAAAGTAAATGTTGTTGCTGATTGTTTAGTGATTTCGAAAAGTCACAGTGTGACGAGAGAGTTTATTGTCCCACCTTTATTTGATTTAGAGGTTTACTTACGTTACTTAATGGTCACAGGCTAGCTTTTGTTTTTTGTTTTGTTTTGTTTTTTTTTTATCTTACTTGTAATTTATTGAATCTATAAAAAAAAATGATTGTTTAGAATTTTTGAAATATTATGAAAGAAAGCCTCCCAAAACCAATTTTCCATTTTAATCCTACTATGTGTCTCCGTGCGGAATATATCGTACATATTGAATTTTGAGGGACATTATGAAAATAAAAACAAAAATACATTTTTTTTCCCTTATATTATTTATTAATGTTAATTTAATCTCACGTTAATTATTTGAATCAATTTAGTCTTTTATCTTTAAAATATTTTTTAATATTTAATTTTTAATTTTCTTTATTTAAATACTTAACGAATGTGACACGTGTCATGACATGTATCATGCTGCCATGACACATGTCATGACATTATGACACATGTCACATGTCACATCCGTTAAGTATTTAAACGGAGGAGACAGATAATCAAACATTTAGATATATTTTAAAGATGTAGGACTAAATTAATTCAATTAATTAAAGTGAGACTAAATTGAATCTAATAAATAATATAAGGGACAAAAAGTGTTGGAATGCAAACAAAGTTCCACATCATTCAAATAAGAAGATGGACATGGATTTATATACACACAATTGTCTCCATTTGTTGAGAGGTCTTTTAGGTGGTATCCAAAAGCAAAACTGTGAGGGCAATATCTTACTAATGTGGAAACATGTGCATATATGTGGTAACCCCAATGCGTGTCCCACTGTCGTAAGGCCATGATGGAGCCGCGGTCTAAACACTTAGAGCGTAAGTGAGCTTTTGGACCACCATCGGATAAACTGTGGTCCTTTGTTTGAGAGGAGGACCTATGTTTGAGAAGAGGATTATTAGGATGCAAGTAAAGTCTCACATCATTCAAAAAAAAGGATGAACATGAGTTTATATACACACAATTGTCTCTATTGGTTGAGAGACCTTTGTTTGAGAGGAGGATTATTGGGATGCAAGCAAAGTCTCACATCATTCAAACAAGAGGATGAACATGGGTTTATATACACACAATTATTTCTATTGGTTGAGAGAGACCTTTGTTTGAGAGGAGGATTATTGGGATGCAAGCAAAGTCTCACATCATTCAAACAAGAGGATGAACATGAGTTTATATACACACAATTATTTCTATTAGTTGAGAGACCTTTTGGATGGTATCCAAAAACAAAACCTTGAGGGCTAGGCTCAAAGCGGACAATATCTTACTAATGTGGAGACAAAAAGTATATTTTTGCTAAAAATAAATGAAAAGATTTCCTCCAATTTGAGATACTATCCTATTTTTATTTTGTTCTTTATTTTTTCATTTCTCAAATGTTTTCTAAACTTTTTTTTAATAGAATACAAATATAGTTCACCAAATAGAATCATGTTTAAGTAAGATAAAATCACCTTAAGTAATAAAATTCTTTATCTTAATATTTAGCACAATTGTATATTAAAAACTTAATTAAAATCACTTATTAAACTAAAATAATGGATCAGTTTGTTTAAACTTGAAAGTATAAATTTAAAACAATATATAAAATGATTTATTTTAAAAATATAAATTTAAGCAAATACATAAAAAATACTTATTTTATTAAAAAGAAGTATTTTTATAGGAAAAAAGTTTAAACAAACAAACTAAATATCATATAAGTTGATCCACGTACTCTAACAGTTTTATGCTTTAAAAACTGTTTAATTATTTTTCTAAAACCAAGTTACAAAAATGCTACCTTGTTTTCTTAAGTTTTCACAACTATTTAATAGCTTCAAAAATTAATATTAGATTATATTTAATAATTTAAAAATATTTTGAACATTCAATAATTAAAAAAAAAATATTGGTACATTTTATATAGGTGAGATAAGAAAGGAAAAATATGAAGAATTTCAAATTCATACTTTTTAGGAAAAACTAAAAATTCTATTATTTTAAGAAATTTTCCAAATGCTCAGACTTCAAATTCTTTGTAAATTGACTTCAAATTTTTTGTAAATTCTTCATTCAAATAAAATATTTCACCCAAAATCATTTGAAATTCTTAAAAAAAAAAAAAAGAATTGTTCCATTCAAATTCTCCATCTAAACAAGAGATTTTTGATGTGTAGACTCATAATTAATAATGAAACTTGTGTTTGATGTGAGTTAGTGACTAAAGATTTGTCCCATCTCTTTTTGCACCGTAGCAATGTGAAGCATATTTGGAACTTTTTTAATATGCATCCTCCGTCCCATGATGAGAATATTCAAAATTGGGTGTTATTTCCCATTTTATTGTGGGAGATTTAGAAAGCAAAAAATGTAAGTATTTTTCAGAATGGTTCATTACAATCACACGTAGTTTGTTAGGGTGCATTAAGGGAGATATCCCACACACATCAACATTGGAATGATATTATTTACTTTGGATCTAAGTCTTTATGTTTTGTTTTTTGTTGTCTTTCAAAAGGCTTTATACCAATAGAGCATGTGTTTCCTTTATAAACTCATGGCTCTCCTCCTTTCCAAATGATGTGAGACTTTGATTATACTTTTCAACAATTATCCCCTCAAAGAAAGGACCACTGTTAACCTCCTCTTCAACAAATAGACCACAAATACTCAATAGTGATCCCCAATTTTTCCATTGTTAATTCACGACAATGTGGCATGCTTCTAACCTTCATATTACAAGGAAGACCTCTACCTCCATACATGGCCCTACCATCGCTTCTCTATCATACTTCTTCAAGAAGTGAGCCAATTCTCCATCAACCTTACCGTACCTTCTTCTTATGCACCAAGATTCACATATCCCCCAGACGACGCCACTTGTTAGGGTGCACGAAGGGGGGTATCCCACACACATGTCCACATTGACATGATATTGTTTACTTTGGACCTAAGTTCTTATAATTTTATTTTTGGTTATCCCTCAAAAGGTTTCATACTAATGGAACATGTGTGTACTTTATTTATAAACCCACGATTCTCCTCCTTTCCAAATGATATGGGACTTTGATTGCACTTTTCAACATAATTATAACTAGAATTTGAAATCTTGTTGAGAGTGTACAAAGTGCATTTGAACCCAACACTAGAGGTCTAATGCTAGAAGAACATCAATGAATGGTTACTTTTATTTGTTCACATAATAATCAAGTGACTCAATGGAAGCTGTCACACTAATCTTGGGCTCATAGGATATGGGGTTTGTTGAGGGACTCAAATGACTATGATGATATTGGTGTTGCGGATATTCTCAAAGCAAAATTAGAAGCTATTTGTCAAGGTATTGATTTGGCATGAGAGTTGAGTTTTATTGATGTAATTTGTGTTTCTAACTCTTTGCATGTTTTGAGTTTGACCACACATGATATCAATGCTTGCCATAGGTATACTACAATTGTGGAAGACATTAGAGGTTATTTTGAAGAAGATTGAAATTAGAATTGTTAAACTCCCTACTTAGGAAATCATTGTATAGATTATCTTGCAAAACTAAGATCACTCTTTGGAGCCTATTTTATGTGTTTGGAGATGCCTCTAATAGGTGTTTACATGGACAATTACTCAAAAAAATTTTCCATCCAAACACACTATTAAGTATTAAAGTATAAAAATAACATTTATTTTAATAGTCTTTTAAAATAATATTAGAGATGTCATATATTACATAGTATCATTAACAATTATAGATAACATCTAAAATAATCACTTAATATTTTAATAAATAAATATAGTTAAAAATAATTATACAATAATTGAAACTAAAAATAATAGTTTAAATTTTAAAAGAATGAGATTTTTTTACACGTTCATTTTATAAAAACAAAAAATATATTTAAACTATTTTAAAATGTAATTTAATTTTCCCTTCAAAGAAAACTGTTGCATACATATTTTCCCAAACAATCGTTCTTGCGCGGTTTTTAATTTAAGTCATTGTCATTTATTGTAATCCATGCAATGTTTAGTTTGTTATGCTTCGGCTGTTGGCTCCATGGGCCTTCATTATTGAGAACAGTAGAAGCCGAAAGACCCACATGCTGGCCAAAGCAGCCAAATAGTTTGAGACCGACGACGGTGTTCACATTGATGCATTGTTCCATAAAGAAAGGCATATTAAGAGAACATAACTTGTTTACACAGTGAAATGAACCGAAAGTTGGAAGCAAAATATAACATATGATCTGATATGCGCTCATATGCAGCAGCTAACTTGCCAAATTATAAATTCCATTCCTGGCATCAGATGAATAATGATTATGTAGTGCTCGAACTAACAGAAATTAATGAATTTCCTCATGCTATCTATGTTCGAAAATTAAATAGTTAAAACTCCAAAATATGTACAAAATCTTAAATTCAAATCCTTTTACCATCGTAATGATGATAAATAAAGAAAGAAAAAACCCAAAAAAACTCCAAGATATAGAAAGAAAAGAATAACAGAGACAATTTAATATAATAAAATGTAAATCCACTGTTTACATATCCATTCAACTTACAACAAATCAATTTACTTTCACTTTCAGAAAGCAACACAGGTAAAACAAATATATCATGAACACGAATGAGTTTCAATTTTAATACTTTAACAGCTCCACAAACTAGACTAGCGGGGACTACCATATAAAGATTAAACACGTAAATGTTTCTGTGAAGGATGATATATCAACACAAACCTCATCTTTGGTATAAATAAAATAATACACGGAGCTTTTCGATCCTCTCTCTGTCAGTGAGGCTGCAATGCTCCTTGAATATTTTTAACAGCACTGTCGTAGTGCACAAAGCCCATAAACCAGAATTCATGGTTGTCAACAGAGATAATCTGTATATATTTTTCAGATGCGTTGGTTCTACTTGTTGAGGCGTTTACTGCTCTCAGCTGGTGCAATGGAATCACCACCTAATGCATGAAAAGGAAAGCATGCGTGTAAGTGTTTACAAAGGAAAAATATGACAATGTAAGTGAATAAGTGTGGGATCAATCTCCTTAGGATCTTCTAGAAATATGAGAAAACAGATGAAAATTATAAACTACAAATTGTTTAATTTTAAAATGTAGACCAAATTATCAGAGGGAGAATTAATCTTAGAATTTTGTCCAAAAGCAAAATATTTTAGCATTGAAAACGATTCGGTGGTGTTTTGTTTGTTTAATACCCCTACAAAAAATGAATTTAAGCGAATAAGTGCTGGAAACGTTCAACATATAAAGGTCACTAATTGTAGCACAAATCTTTCCTTTAAATTAGTAAAAGACTTGAATTTCTATCGGTATATAGTCTGATATTTTATTAAATGCCATTGTCAATAAAATCCTTGGATATATATCTTCAGCAATAAAAAAATAAAATATTTTAAAACACAATTACTGCTAACTAATTCATAATTATAAAGCTTACAAATGAAAAATGAGCTTTTCATCATTGGCATGGACCTAAAACTAAAAGTGTTACAGCAATGTTGGCAATATCCTCTGCACCATTCCATCATTCTTTGATAAAATAACATGGATCACAATGAACATAATCTCAATGGTGGTAAAGCTTCTAAAGGATAGAATAAATTATATGGCCACCTAACAAGGCCACGAGCATGGTTGGCTGATGGAGGAGTATAATTAAGTGTTATTATATTATTCCAATTCCATATTTAAGAAGTTGATATTTTATATTTAATTAGGATTTATCTAAGATTTCATTATTTTAGATTACAAATATCCTTCAAGTGTTTTATGTTTAGACTTAGCATAACTAAAACTCCATCTATCTCATAATAATTGTCATTTCTTAGAATATAGGTTTTGAATTTAACTCAATTCTACAAAATGGACTTGTAAACTAATGATTGTTATCTCACTTGTAAACATTATTTTGGCCTTACCTTTGATCAATGTAGGACTTGGATTATCACTATTGGACTTGCTATGTGAATAATATGGTAAGTGATCCATTAATGATTATAGTATATATATTCTAATATCATCATAGAATATGGTTTTTGGACCTAACTCAAACTCACAAAACAAGTGTGTAAGATGAGAGTTGTCCTCTGACTTGTATACACTATTTTTGTTTCATTTCTAGTCAATATGGAATTTGAGTTTTCTTTTTTCCAATAAACTTTTTTATTGTTACATAAATTAAAAAAAACTAATAAATAGATGAAAAAGTGCAGTAATTTTGTGAAACTAATATCATTATCATTTTTTTTATGGAAACCATACAACACAACGACATTCTAAAAAATACTATTAGTGGTATAAATGGAAAAAATTAATTAATGTTACATTGAAAAACTAAAATGACATTTATTTTAAAACTTATTTTTTCTTAACTAAATTGCCTTTTTTAGTCTTCGATCCCTCAATTTTAAAATGTGATTTTAATCACCAATTTTGTAAAATCTGCAAATTTGTTCTAATTGTCAAATGCTCATCTGTTGACTATTAAAATTATAAATTGACCAAGACAAACATTAAGTACATGATGTGATGATTAATATTACCTTTGTCCTTAATTATAAGATCCAACTTAGAACAACTGTTTGTTTTTTTATACAAGACCAAATTCATATTATCTCATATATTAAGTGTTTTTATACTAAAATGCTCCTAATTAAAGTATGTTCTCTTAATTTGTTAAAATACATTAATTATAAACTCTTGAAAGGGCATGGACTCTAATTGGTAAAGAAAAAAGATGAATATTAATTAAAAGAGAGAAATAGTATATGACATGCACGGTAATTGGTTAGAAGATTTATGAACATTAATTAGGAAAAAAAAAGTAGTATAAGCTTAGTTCTAGAAAAAAAATATATAAATCGGACAAATTTATTATTATTAACTAAATTAACTATTTTTCTTAATCTTGATGAATTAGGTAATTGGGTTTTATATATAGGAATAAAGGTAGTATTTAATAATATTTAGGCTAAATTACACTTTTAGTTTCCATTTTTACCCAAAAAGTGATAAAAGAAAATAAAAATGGGGGTAAAAATGCAGAGCAAAGTGAAATTTAGCCTAAAGAAATTTAAAAATTAATGTGATGATAACATGACAATTAATATTTAATAATATATTCAAATCATGATTAACGACTTAACGTCACAATTTTAGTGATCATTAAATGAAAATTCAATGGTTGAACCAAAATTGCAGATTTTACAAAATTGGAGGAATAATTGTGGATTGAATATCATAAGGGAACTACAAGTATAATTTAACCTTTTTTCTTCTTACGCGACACTTATTACATGAATAAGGGAGTAGTAATATTGACATTTCCTCTATTTTCCTTTAAGCTTTTATCAGTTTGAGGTTTGAAGTAACTAAAAATTCTTCATTAGCACACTACGTCTATTATTAGTTTGCTATACTATGAAATCCTAATAAAATAGTAATTCTTAAATAACACAATAATCCTTAAATACAATTCTCCATTCTGCATAACTAGCACTAAGTTTAAAGTGATTCAAATTGCACCCTGACAAACAGTAACAGAGCACACGCCAAATTAAATCTTTCAACGTTGACACAAATTCAAAAATAGAATGCAAAAAATGTAATTGTAATCGATAATCACAATCCGAAGAAAAAAATTATTCTGAATTATCAGAAAAACAATTTATCAAAAAAATACATCAGCAAACCTCATTTCTTTGACTACTCTTCTCATCCTTAAAACCCCGAAAAATCAGAATTAAATATCATACACATACTTTTGAGTCCTGATTTAAAATTTCAAAACAAGATCAATAAGCATGTAATACCACCACTGCCAAAGATAACCCATAGTTTCAAGAAATGCAACAAAACTGAAGTATGGAAGTGACCAATCTAGCTGGTAAATTGACCAAATGCAAATACTTAGGAACACATGCAATTCTAACACTTGAATGCAATTGTTTCAAATACAATTTTATGAAAAACAATAATAAATATCCATCTTTAGCAAGTAATCATAGAAAATGAAGGAATTCAGAGATCAAGGTCATAAAATCAAATCACACTCAATCAGGGACCAACAAGAAGGTTTGAGCTTGTACCTTATAATAGCTCCATTGAGTCTGTTCACCCACTTGGTAAGAAAGCGGGTTATCACTACAAAACGCCAACTTAGCCGTTGACAAATACAAGACTCCCATGACAGGTCCAGCGGAGGTGGACAAGTAGCATGCATAGGTTTTCAGAAGCTGCTCCTCTGGAACCGTCTCAAACGTTTGCCTAAAGATCTTCTCATACCCTCCTTCCGCAAGAACCTTAGTTCCCTGAGCAATCCTCCCCACAGCAGCATCCGCAAAACTCGGACCCGTTTTCACTGCTCCACGCAAAATCATTTTTTTTTTAAATTTATTTAAAAATAGAAAAACAATAATTAGAGGAAATGAATACATACAGTGCTGCCACATATTGCCGGCGAGATCCTCGGCCTTCTTGGTGGCCTCGGCGGCTTTCTTCCCCCATTTTCCGAGAACGTCTTTCACCGAATCTAAAGTAGCTGCGCAAAAATAATCCAAATTTGAATCAGTGTCCGTGGATGATGGTAAAGTCGGAAGAGAAAAAAAAAGTGAGTAAATTACTCTTAGTAGATGAAGTGGCAACGGGCGCAGGAGTGACATAGGGATTGGAGTCTTTGGGCATGGTAGTGGCAGCATCGCCGGAAATAGGGGCGCGAGAATCAGTGTTCAGAGGTGGCACCACATCGTTGGGGTCCAGTTTAGGGTATGGAGCAAAATCAGTGGAGTGAGACTGAGGCGGAGGCTGAGCCTGAGCTTGAGCCTGAGCCTGGGCTTGAGGTTCTTCATGTTTGATGTTGGTGTTTTGGGTTTGGTCTGGTTTGGTGTCGGTGGTTTGGGGTTGGGCGTCACCGCTCATGGTGTTGGCTTAGGTTTTGTTTCGTTGCTTGGGGATCGGAGTAAGAGCAGAAGAAACGTGCGTGCAACTTCTATTCAAACGTCAATTTCTGCGAAACCGTCAACTCCTTCAGATTTCAATGCACTTTCTGGATCTGCCCGTTGTATTTTCGTCTTCTTTCACTTGGGGTGGGCTGAAATTACAGGGCCCGATGCTCACTCCTGATAGTGGGCTTGTGGTAAAGATAGGCCCAATATTAAAAGGGCCTGTATACATTTGAAGATGGTGGTCAGTGGTCACGAGTGACTCTAGTCTTTGACTTGTGACGGCAAATCGTCGTTACTAGACGAACTTGAATAAAGAAATTAGGTTGTAATATTAAATATTATAAAAAAATAAAAGAAAAGTTATAAAATGAGTTGAATAGAGATGTATAATAATAAAAAATAATAAATGATGTTTGATAAAGTATTGGAGGGAGTGGGAGAGAGAGGCAAAGGAAGAATCTTGTGTAATGGTGTGAAGCAACGAAAAAGATGAATAAAATGGAGGGCCAAGCACCGTCCCCTCTGCCGGACCAGGTCCTGGAAAACGTCCTGGAAACGGTCCTCCACTTCCTGAGCTCCCGGCGCGACCGCAACGCCGCCTCATTGGTCTGCAAATCATGGTACCGTGCGGAGGCCCTGACCCGATCCGAGCTCTTCATCGGCAACTGCTACGCGGTCTCCCCACGGCGGGCCACAGCCCGGTTCCCCCGGGTGCGGTCCCTGACGATCAAGGGGAAGCCCAGGTTCGCGGACTTCGATCTGATGCCCCTGAACTGGGGGGCCCACTTCACCCCCTGGGCCCAGGCCTTGGCCCAATCGTACCCCTCCCTCCGGCGTCTCCACCTGAAACGCATGTCCCTCACCGACCGCGACCTCACCCTCCTCTCCCTCTCCTTCCCCCACTTCCAAGACCTCCTCCTCACTTGCTGCGAAGCCTTCACCACCACCGGCCTCGCCGCCATCGCCGCCAACTGCAGGCTCCTGAGAGTGCTTGATCTCGCCGAATGCGTCGTCGAGGTTGCCGACGAGGAAGTGGATTGGATTTCGTCTTTTCCGGAGACTCAGGAGGAGACTCATTTGGAGTCTCTTGTTTTTGACTGCGTCGAGTGTCCCGTCAATTTCCAAGCTTTGGAGAGGCTCGTGGCGCGCTCTCCCTCGCTCAGGAAGCTCAGGTTGAACCGTTACGTTTCCATGTCGCAGCTGCACCGTTTGATGCATCGCGCGCCGCAGCTCACGCATCTTGGAACCGGTTCCTTCAGTGCTTCCGAACTGGATCCCGAACCGGATTACGCCTCTGCGTTTGCGGCTTCCAAATCCTTGGTTTGTTTGTCTGGCTTCAGGGAGATTTGGCCGGATTATCTTCCTGCTATTTATCCAGCTTGTGCTAATCTTACATCCTTGAATTTTAGTTACGCTGATATCAATGCACATCAGCTCAAATCGGTTATACGTCACTGTCATAAGCTGCAAACGTTTTGGGTACACTTTCTTTCTTGTCTTTTATTTCTATGAATTGAAGTCTCTTCGTCTTGTGCAGTTCCTTGTTTTCTGTTTTCTTTCTTGTATGAATTCATTTGAGAAAGAGTCTCATTTGCTACAAGTTTAGAAGCCTTATTTTTAGAGCTTTTTCTAGCCGTGAAACTCTCAAAAAACAAGTTTACGATAGTTTTTGAGAGCTTCTCTGTTAAAAATAAAGTGTTTTTTTCTTCTTCTAAAGCTCTCAAATATGTTTATAAACTTATATCCACATAGTCTCAAATTCGAAGTGAATTGGGAATTAGGGATTGAAGAGACTGGGTTTTGTGCAGGTCCTTGATTCGATATCGGATGAAGGGCTTCAAGCAGTGGCTGAGACTTGCAAGGATTTGCGAGAGCTTCGGGTTTTCCCTGTCAATACCAGGGAGGAGATAGAAGGTCCTGTGTCCGAGGTGGGATTTGAGGCGATTTCTCGAGGCTGTAGGAAACTGCAGTCAATCCTGTTTTTCTGCCAGAGGATGACGAATGCAGCTGTGGTGGCCATGTCGAACAACTGCCCGGATCTTGTGGTGTTTCGGTTGTGTATAATTGGGCAGTATCGGCCGGATCCTGAGACACTGGAACCCATGGATGAAGGTTTTGGTGCCATTGTTATGAACTGCAAGAAGCTCACTCGGCTTGCTGTGTCTGGTTTACTGACTGATCGAGCTTTTGGTTACATTGGGACATATGGGAAGTTGATTAGGACGCTGTCGGTTGCCTTTGCTGGAGACACTGATCTGGGGCTCAAATATGTGCTAGAAGGATGTCCTAATCTGCAGAAGCTTGAAATTAGGGACAGTCCATTTGGGGATGGAGCTTTGCGTTCTGGCTTGCATCATTTTTACAACATGAGGTTCCTCTGGATGTCCTCATGCAAGTTGACGCGCCAAGCTTGCCAAGAAGTTGCACGAAGGTTGCCCCATCTGGTGTTGGAAGTCATTAACAGTGAAGAGGGTAAAGCTGATGATATTGAGATTCTGTACATGTATCGGTCTCTGGACAGACCAAGGGATGATGCTCCGAAAGTTGTTACTATCCTTCATTGATTCTTTGAAACTTGACAAGTTGTTAGCTTATTCCTTGTAATGGGGGTTGCCGAGGGAAATTATAGTGCAGGGATATTTTTTAAATAAACCTGCCACAGTATTGATGTTATGTGTTGTCGATGTTAAAAGAAGCTGAGCTAACAACTCTTCTGCCATTCTCTTGGCCGGTGAGGCTAGCTTTACTGAGGCAAAGCATTCATTCTTGTGTATGAGAGAGGACTCGGAGATTAGTACAAGGAGAGAGTGTGTGTTGAGAAGGATGCCGGAGACGAGGAATCCTTCAGGTATTGGACCATCCAATGTTGTTGTATCACTATAGTTAAAATATATGTCCTTTTCCTTTTTATTAATTTTATGATCAAGAGAAACTACCAGAGTTGGGAAAGGTAGAAATTGCTGAAGCTGCTCTGAGGATTGGTTAGTAAGTGTTGTTCATCTCCTTAGTCAGTTGAGAAGCAGATTAAGAAGGATCAAAATAGAAGGTCTGGAGAGGTGACAGTAGAAAAGCAAAAGCGTTCCCTTTGTGAGGACTTGGTCTCTATATTTTGACTCAGATGATAGTTAAGCTGTAGGTTACGTGAATCCAATCACCAGACTGATATAAGCGTATCTGCGTTCCACTTTTGTTTTCTCAGATGTGTTTCTGTAGCTCCTGACTCTTGAATTTACTTTTAGTAAGAAATTGTGACATGGTTAATAAATGCATGGACCATATACAAACTTACTGGAACTGTGCTTATGCATTTTGGTTTCTTAATGTAGAATGATCAATTGATTGTGAAGGCCCATTATGTTGTATTTTATTCAAGTACGCGTTGTGATTGTGATGAGGAGCGAGGAGGTTGTTTCCATAATCATGGACACACACAGAGCTTAATTGACAATAGGAGTGGACATTATTAGTTGCATTCTGAATGAATTCCACATGGAGTGAGGGGGCCAATAATTTTGATGGTTTTTCTCTGGCTCTCTCATTATTAGGAGGGAAGAAATCTTTCTTTCTGCTTTGGTGATATTCAAACTGGCATAACGCAGAATGGTAAAAGTAAACCGAACAAGAAAGTGGGATCTGACTGTGCATGTGAAACAAGTGGTGGGGGAGCAAAGCTTCGATTTTCTTTTTATCTAACCATTTTCTGCTGCGCCAAGTGGACCATTGCAATTTTAGCCATTTACCCACTTTTTTTTTTAGTCTTACCCTCCTCACCTTCACGTTCTGAGGATAAGAAGCTTGTGCGGTGAACATAGGCAATAAATGGAACATTCACTTCTCATTATTAGGCCTGTCCACATTGCTGATGGAGGGAATAGTCCCCTTGTGGTTGTGGCAATTACCAACTCTTAAGCTTATTTTGTAATACCTTTTTCCGCCTGTTTTGGATGAATATTAGCCAACTAAATTTGAAGTAATTTACGAGAGTATTTATGCGTGAAAAGTGATTTCTGTCGTCATTTTCCATTTGCCTTAACATATATTTAGATAAGCAATTAAATATTTTAATTTCAGTTGATGTTAATTTTATAAAGTTAATTTTGACATTTAAGTACCTACAAGTGAAAAGTGAATTAATTTTATTCGGACGGGGTTATTTATATTTCTTCCAAGTATAAATTTTATGTTATTACTTTATCAATAAATTAGTAATTATGTAAGAAGTTAATAGCATTTAAAAGCTACTGGGGGGAAATAAATAATAAATTATATCGCAAAGGTAATAGTTATTTATTTCCTCCTTAACCTTAGTCTAAAAGGAAATTCTGGAAGAAAGACACAGAACATGACATTTACCAAATTTTCAATGTTTGACATGATGTAAACGTAAATGCGGTCATCACTAATCATAGCATTAGTTATTCTCTTGCGAGTAGCCATCACTATCCTGATCCTTTGAGAAAAGTGAGGGGGGAAAGGAGGAAAATGAGAGAAGAAAGCAAAATTGGTAATGGCCCTAAACGGGAACGGTTCTCGTTTCACCTTAATTAACACTTGTTTCACTCATAGCCGTAAAATGACTCTACTAATTATGGTCGCGCCTAGGCAGAGTGCAGACCAGTCCATCACTTTTTCAATAAAAAAGAATTCATCAAATTTCATGATCTGGATGGAAGGAATAATGTATAAACACCAAAGCCGATCTGGTTAGCACATGCATTATACTGTTTGCTAAGCACGCATACACAATGATGATAGCAAATAATAATAACAATTATAATGAGTTGCAATTCTAAAAAGTTGAAGTTCTTTGGTGAGAGTGTGGCCCACTGCTTGATCATTAAAGCATGTGGGCCGTGTGTACGGTAATGGATTGAGATTGAGATGCATTATAGCTTTGGGCATATTGAGATATTTTATAATCATGCATTTTATCAATAATGATATCATGGTTGATAAAATAATGGTGGAGGGGCGTAAAAAAATATCAAACAAGGAAACCAATAACTTCATGGCAAGTAAGTGACATTGGCCATGGCTGGTGTCAGTAGGAAAAGAAAATGTTGGTTTCCACAACTTTGGTCAGTTAAGCGCATTTTATGGCTCATCTAAGCATGGAGTCAACATCTAAAGTATGATGTACTGTCACTACTATACCAGTGTATTATTGTAGTTAACCTGGAATTAATTTATTAATCACGCATTCTTTTCAAGCACCAATTTCAGGATTGATCTTTGCTTTGTTCTAACTGAACCCATCTCTCATTTTATATGTTACATGGCAATTGCAGATTTCTATACAATTATCCTGTATACTAACATTGCACACCTATGTGTAAGCACAATGTTTATTACCGAATTCACAATTTCATCATATAAAGCATTGTATAATGTACTGAATTTCCATTCGTTTTACGTTAAATATGCATAATTTTGTCTAACTTTCCTCTGTACCGTTTGTATAAGCAGGAGATGCTAAGAGATTTCACTCGGGCATCACAAACAAGTGGGTATCATGCACATTAAAACAAAAGGCCTCCTTTTATATGTAGTCAATTGAAGGAATGAAACATGCACTAATATTAAAGGCCTCCTGTCAATAAATCGTAAATTACTTATTACAGCAGTCAACACAAAAGGTTCTCAAAGAAAAAAAGTAGCACCATTCCTTCTTCAGTATCTTCTCCATTCCCATACACAACTTGAATGTAAGATAGCGTTTACTCAATGCTCAATGTACAACCTTTATTTTTTATTGGGGGGCCGCGTCGCGGGGAATAAACGAGGTCAAAAGCATTACAACACTTTTTTAGATTTCAATCTACGTCTATAACGTCTTTCTTTTCCATTTACCTTGGCCTTCCCTCTTGGATCCCCTACAGCTGATAATTTAAGTCCATGAGGTGCAGTTCTAAATGTGACAGTGATCAATTTTCATGATTTGATTTAACTTCCTATAAAAAAAAAAAAAAAATCTTTTGAAAGGTTAGGATTTGTGCAGTTAAAAAATAAAAATTTAACTGCAGAGGATCTCAATTCATGTATAATATATATAGTACATACACAAAATAGTAATACATCCTTAGCATAGGGATAAGCAGTGAATTATTTTATACACCCATCTTATTATTTTCTGCATCCATCATTATTATTCTGGAATTATTCAGAAATAAGTGTTCCGAAACGCATATAATAAATGCAGGATATAATAAATTAGGCACAGGAAACAATTATCTATGTTAGGTATCCTCAGTGGATGTGGGGGGCCGGTCCCCAACTCCAAAAATTGACACATGGGTCATCCTCCACGGATGGTTGCTCTCAGTCCTAAGCTTGACGTTGATGTCATATTTTGTTAAATTGCCCTTAAAATAGAATCACGAACCACTTATTTTCCAGTGAAATAACTCATTAGTTCGATCAAACAGCTCCTCCACTTGGGGTATATCTAGAACACAACTTTAAATTAGGGATGAGCAAATTAAATTGCACTAAACTGAACTGTTAAAAACTGTATTAAACTAAAAAATAGTTTAATTAAATTGAACTGAACTCAAAATTAGTTCACAAAACTGAATAAACTATTTTTTATTCTATTAAATTGAACTGAACTTATTTTTATCTAAGAAGAAAGAATCTGTGATTGGTGACTTGGTGCATAAGGAAGGAGGAATCTGTGATTGCCTGTGAGTGAGGAAGGAGGGCTGATTCTGTTGAATCAGGAACCCCGTGTCGTGGGCCCGTGGCTTGCTGGAATGTGAAGAGGCTTGCGATTTATGATTTAGAAACCTTGGCTGTGGCTGGAATGTGAAGACCCAACATGTGAAGACCTACATTTCTGTATTTATAAATTGAAATTATGCCGTGGCCCGTATCTGTGCTTTCATTTTATATTTTTAGTTAATTAGAGTAAACTGTAACTTAATAAGTTCAGTTTTTAAAAATTGAACTAAAAAATAGTTTAATTCAATTTTATTTTAAATAATTATAAATTTTTTTTAATTTAAAATAATTTAGTTATTTAATAATTTAGTTTAATTAAGTTAATTTTAGCGAGCCCTACTTCAAATCCCATTAAAACCTTTTCTTTGGGTGCATGATGTGATAGAGAGGGAAAGAAAAGACCATTCCAATCATTTCTCCTTTAGAATAACCAGAACTCTCAACTCTAATTTTAACTCCGTCCCATCTCAACATCTTAGTATCTACCTTTCAGGCGTGACATGTAAGAAGGGCCCCAAATTATCTCCTTAAGGCCAATATTTTAAGCCTCGAACTCTCATGATTTTAATAAAGCTAATTGTACAGTAAATATGTACAATGCATAATATTTAAAATAAGAAAAAATACATTATGAAAAGAATGAAAGAGTTTTAAGAAATAAATAAAAAGTTAACGACATTAATTAGTAAGATGTAACTGTAAAGGAGCCATTGAAACCTGGAGGTGAAATAGATAAATTCCATTCTTTAATTACTATTGATCATTTCCAAAGTTACATATCTGTTTATTTGTTCTCTTATTATTTCACAAAACTTCAACTTTTAACTTTTCTCTTCATTCTTTTTTATTTTTAGCTCTCATACTTTTAATTACCAAGTCTTTATAATAATTCTAGGTAAGATCCCCAAATTTCTCCACGACCGTGAATTTAACAACAGTGCCCTGTGCGTTTAAACAAAAGCATATATTTAAATAGAGGTAGCACTCATTGAACCTTGCTTTCTGAGAGGTGGCATCGTCAGTCAGGGTCACTTTGGCTCAAATCAAATTGGCCTAAAATAAAGCAGCGTGCCTGTCATATTATCAGCTTCAACTCAGTCAAAAGGAGCAGGAGAGGAAGCACGAAAAGTAAGCAAGATTAAGATTCATGGTGGAGCCCAGTTTGGTATGATCGACCTTAACCAAATCGATACAACTATAATATTAAATGAGAGGCATCAACTCAAACGATGAGAAAATAAAAAGAAAGGTACCTTATCTTGAATGGGAAATGAGAAATATTTATGGTATTTCACCTTCTTCATATTTCAACAAGAGCAGCTTCTTGTTCACTGAAGATTAGTGCATAGATTATACACAGAATAGAGGCTATACGCAGACACAAATATACTACACATTTTCCCTCTCCATTTTAGGATACGTTCAGCAAAAGTACCCATAATAACTAGCAAAAAGATCAGCCTTGATCATCTGGTTTGATCTAATTAGGATCTCCCAATAAAGTTTCTTATAACTTGGGTACTATTAAAATGTCAGTCAAAAGAGTCATTCAGACCTCGTCTTTTTAGGGAATCAAAGCCTTTCATCACATTCTTTTGGATCCGAGGGACCATGATTAGATTCAGGAAAAACAAACTTCCCAACTTGTACACATGTATAACGACTACAATAATATGGCATGGCAGATAACTGCTTAAAATGTTAACAACCTGAACCGTGCAATAATATTTGGGATTGCAAGAAACGTTTGGTATATTACTAATGCATGCCAGGTTAACAATACAAGGTACGGAGAGAACAACCAACATCGAACAATAAAAACAAGGCATTCACGTCATTATCTTTTACGTCTTACAGGACAGTCTAAGATAATGGATAACGTTTTGTACTTGTCATTTTAAAATGAACATAGTTCAAGTTGAATAATTGAAGCTATCACATATATCACAATATGATTCAACAGATTTATTTATTTATGCTGAACTATTTCAATGGAACTGCGTATCCCAATCCTTTTTCAACATTATTGGTTTTTCTTTTCATTAATTTAAAACTAGACCTAGATCTCAAATTTACAATTTTTCAGGAGGGCAAACGGCGAAATCTCATCGTTTTGAAATTTTTTACTTCAAAAGTAAAGCCTGTGATTAAGTCTACTTAGAATGCCAAGAAAAAAATATTAAGTACATAGGAATAGAAACAGCAGAACTCAATACGTTGAAAGAATAAATAGGCTGAGCTTTAGAAACAAGTATTTTTCCCTTATTTTTCAAAAGTTGTGATATTGAAACGACAAAAAATTATCAGGGAGCCAACCGCTCAACTTTCCACTGCCACTGTCCATTGATCTCGTGGGGAGTATATTGCAACCTGTCAATAAAATATGTACACAATATCAGGAAATTTTCGTGGAAAATTTACCTCTAGATATGAACCTCTGTGGGACAGAATGATAAGCCTAGAGCACTCCTCTAGGACATCATACTCTTTTAACTAGGATTTCAAACTAATCCTTTAAAGAAGTTTATATACTTTATCATAATACAGAAAAGATGTGAAATGTTTTTGTTAGGTGTTTGTTAGAGATATATATCTTTTGGCATTCGTTAGTAAGGGAGGCAGTTAGTTGGGCTGGGATATTTAGAAGAAATCAGGCATCTCACCGATAAATAAGAAGAGGGTTCAGAGGGAGAGGTAGCTAGTCATTTGTTAGGGAAAGGGAGCTTTACGACAGGGAGGAACAGAGCCTTGAATTTTTGTGGTGTCCTATCTTTTAATTGCGGTTTATCCCTATTTTTTCCTGATAAAAAATTACCAGGTTCCTATTCTCTGCCACCAGAGCTCCAATCCTGAGCAGTAGGTAGTGCGTATTGAAGGATAAAGGAACTGTTCTGCACGTAATTGACATCATTGGAGAACAGAGAACTTAGGAACCAGATTGCAATTATCAAGAGAAAACTCAAGGAGAATGCCTGGGAATCCGTCTTTCGAGAAGATTTGGCTGATTCAAATCCAACAGCACTTTGACATGAAAAAGAAAGGTAAGCAGCAGCTGGTTTTGAAAGCACCTGGACATGCTTATGATTGGTAAAGATAGCGGGAGATCAGTAATCCTAAGGTGTCATGGGAAGAGTTTCAGAGGCCAGTGCTCAAGAAATTCCAGCCTGAGTACGATCTGAATTTGTCAGTTAGGGTCCAAGAAAGGAAGTGGATTCAGGGAGCTAAGAGGGAAATGAAGGGTTGAACATCAAAAACCAGAATAGCAGCAAGGGAGGTGAAACAGAAATCTGTGGATACTATTCTAGATATCATGAAGTACCTGATCAAAAAATTTTGAAGAAGGAACAAAGGCAAAAAAACAGCCAAGACAAATTAGTAAAGGAAATTTTAATTGATACAATCAAATAACCTAAATGACAGTTTGAGTCTTGGGTGGAAGTGGGTTTTGATCTATTGCATAGCAATGGTGTAGTAGAAAGAGAACATTTGAGTTGTCCAATGAATTACCAAGGACAATAAACATGGTAATGGTTATGAAGGGCATGGATGGAGAACAGTCATTCAAAATGGATTTTGGTCTTGATGGCACAGAGAGGAAGATGGGTTTCAGCAAGGAGGCCAACAGCTCAAGCAATGGTGGGGATTGGGAGTATGATGGAGGCAGTGAAGGAGTGATAATGGAATTCTGGTTCTCAGATGTGCCAGCCAAATCCTCTTTGCTAACATCCTTATGGTGGCCAAGGCTACTGGTACTGCAGTTGCAGAGATGAAGGTAAAGGGGGTTGCCATTTGACAAGCCATTCCACAACTCCAAAACAACAACATCAAAATTGTTCCATCAGATATAATAGCAAATGGAAGGAAGACATCAAGCATGTTGTTAGCAGCTGCAAACAGCAGCGGTGTGAAGGGGGAGCAGAGAAATGGAAGGGTGCAATGCTTCCTTAACCAACTGGGACAAGCCCAAACCATTTGAGTATATGGATATTGTAGCCCAAAAGCACCGGTGGGTAACACCAACCCAAATCAGTCATGGCCAGTTTTGCAAATTTCAAAATGATCCTGGACTCCTGTAACAGGTATTGTGCTGAAAGTCGTCCTGGGAGATTGCAAGGTGTGCAGACTCTTAGGTTAGTGTTACAGAAGATGATGCAGGCCAGTCTTTTTGACAATGGGGGAAACTTACAGTAGGAGCTCAGTGGACTCTCTTCAGCTATCACAAGCTGTTCACCATGAGGACAATGTGAATGTTTAGGTGTTAGATATCCTTAGCATCAATTAGTAACTGTTAGGGAGGGAGGGAGTTAGTTGAGTTGGGATAATTAGAAGAAATAAGGCATCTTGACTATAAAAAGAAGCAAGGTTGGGAGGGAGAGGTAGCTAGCTAGTCATTTGTGAGAGAATTGGGGCCATAGGTCTGGGAGTGGGAGATGTATACCCTTGAAGTTTTGCAATGCTTTATCTTTGTAATTGGGTTTTAATTTTATGCATATTTCTTCCTAATAAAATACAAGGTTTCTATGGATAGTTTATTTATAGACCAAACATAACAAAGTACCTGATAAGATGACCCTATTCTATACCAGAATAAGATACTTCAATTAGGACAAAGTCCTTACATAAAAAGTTTGAAATCAAAATTGCCCATCAAGACCAAGTATATCCAAAATTTTAAGCAATCTCAAGATAAGGTTAAATATTTAGGTTGTGTTTAGATGACTAATGAGGGAAGAAATATGAGGCAAAAGCTTACAAGTGTTGATTTTCAATATAAACCTCAAACTTATTTAAGTAATTCAATTTGTGGGGGGAAACAGAAAATAACTTTTTAAAGTAAAAAAGTCATAAAGATAATACTATTGTATATGCCACAGATTACTTCATAAAGTTACCATAACCAAGAAGCCAGACTAGGATATAGATCAACTCAAATTGATAGCACACAACATGGATCTTGAACCTAACTGCTGCTTGAAAACCCAATATAAGTTACCAAAAAAAATTATCTACACACATCCATTAGGGAAAAAAATTTGAGAAGAAACCTATCACAAACGGGGAAGCAACCACCTGTCATGCAAGCGAGATTTTTGTCCTTGCCAAAATTCGAAAAGTTGTGGTGTTAGCCTATATCCTCCCCAGTTCTTAGGTTTCGGGATCAAACTACTGCAAGCAGAAAATATGAGGATTATTTCCAGCTCCCCTAGAGTTAACAAATGGGTGAAAAGGGTACTTCTGGCTAAATGAGATGGTCACCTAATCAGATTTCCAAGTCCACAACAAGGGGAGATGCAGAATTATTGACCATCTCAGGGGACTAACATATTTTTACCGGAAATGACAAATACATGCAGATGTTCAATAACTTACCCATCAGCGTATTTTTGTTCCAGCTCATTGTACTCCTGATAAAGAACATGCCTTCCAGGCACTACAGTACTCTAATGATCCAAGAAATTGAAATTATAAATTCACATACCATATCATTTTCATATATAATAATATAACAGTTATATTTAAAGTGATGCAGAAGTAGACCTGCTTGCTGACTATTGCTCCAATCTGACTTCCTCTAGGACGGCTATGGAAATACTGTTCTGATTCTTCATCAGGGACTTTCTGAACAGGCCCTTCCACCCGTACCTAGGAAAATAAATAAATAAGAAAGGAATAAATAATGAAAACTGTACACAAATTTAGAAGCCTAAAATAGAAAGGGAAAAAAATTCCTTTCTCCATGCAAAAGGACCCAGGAAAACAGAATCAGTCAATCACAGCTGCTTCATATTTGATCAGTATCCAAGAGTCCTAAAATATCATGACTATCATAGAGTGACATGAAGTTTTTATAAAAATGGTTGCATCATGTTAAATTGGTTCACAAACCATTGCTGTTTGTAAACTTACTATAAGTAGCCATTAAATATTAGCAAATAAGAATGTTGATTTGCAGAAAGACTGTCACAAGAAATAATACTACATTATATTTTATCAATTCCTTCTTTGTATATTTTCAGTAACATTGCACTTTATAATAATATGAATGAAATTTATTTATTTTTTAATTTTTTCATCAATGTAAAACAAGTCAGAAAATGCAAAATAATAATAATAATAATAAATTAAATAATCAATTTGTATAGCAGACATATTACCAATGTTCATCTTCTATCATTTCATTTGCAGGTTTCCCAAGTTAAGATCATGTAAAGAAAAAAAGGTAAAAAAAAAAAAACTGACAAAAATGCTGGTAGGCTTAAGAACAGGAAGTTTTCTGTAGTAATAATTTACTCAAAGTAATGAAACTACAAGCGGATAAAATAATAGGCTGACCGGATTAAGATCAAACAGGATTATTATTTTGTTAAATAAAAGATAGAATGCATAAGGAGCACAGACATCATACCATGAAGTTTTCACTGAACCCTCAAATAAAGTTAACTAAAACTGTTTAGTATTTTCAGTGACTTATTTCCACCCATCAGTAACAAAACTCTTTAATCAATCCCGAAGTGAATCCTACTAAAATGCCCCAACTCAAGATTTCCAAAAGTAGAGGTCTACTACTACTAGATATTCTAATCCTCTATGTTATACCACCTGAAAGAATCTGTCATCCAAGTTTTAAATGGTTTCTTCAGGAGTAATTACTATGAAATTTTACAAATTAACACTTATCCTCATTTTCCCTCCTCGTAAAGTACATTATGGCATGCTAAACCATAGGTTTCCAAGAAGACATGATATTCTTTGTCATGAAAAATTAACTTCATCAATTCCATGTAAGAATAAGTTAATATGAAGATGTGGCTAGCAAAAATATAAGCAAATTCACCTGCCGGTTTAAACCATCCCAGTAAAAAAGAAGTGATGCACGTGGATTTTCAGATAATTCATGTCCCTTTCGACTTTCATAGTTTGTGTACCTGTGCAAAGCAATTGCAGTAGGTGAACAAAAATAAGCATTCTCCACAACAGTTCTAACATTAAAAATAACGAAGTATTACTAACCACACAAATCCATCCTTATCCAAGCCTTTCAGCAATACCATTCGTGATGAGCTGCAGCCAAATGAAGTAGACTAATTTGGAAATTTTATCCAGAAGTGTGGGATAGTATTAGAGTAATTCATTTTGAAAGGCCCACTTATATTTAGAAAAAACAACATTCTAACATAAATAAAAAAATAAAAACAGAAGCACATCTTACGGTTTTCCATCCTTCCCTACAGTAGACAAGGCCATAGCATTTGGTTCCTTCAAACCAGCAGCTAATGCATCATCAAACCAATTGCGAAACTGCATATAAAAAATAGAATATTGTAAATTGGCAAGCATTCATAGACACTAAAATCTAAGTACTCAAAATCCTAGATTACGAAACTGAAATAGATCATGGCAAGGTACTAAAGTCATTAACCACCAACAGGGCTAAACCATGGACAACAACAACTCTGCAACAAACAGTATTATTTTGGATTTGGATTGTCTACAGTTCAAAACAAATTGCACAAGGTGCAGTTATAGATCTCACCACTAAATATAATGAATTTAAATTTAGACTTTATTTTATGATACAATGAAAGAAAAAGCTAATGGGTGAGATTCATGCAGTTCAACTTTTAAACTGCAGAGGATCAAAATCCGTATTATTTTACATGAAAATTACCTGATTAATAGGGTCAGCCTCCACCTGGTCTTCAAGAAATTCTGGAGAGATATAGTTCTCTCTTAGAGCCGAGATATCAATTTGTGGAGGCTTTCCAATTCTAACACACATGGATGTTCCAGGATATGCTGGAAGTATAAGCTTATATTTTTCTGCAATTGCAGGTGGGACAAATCTACCTCCTAGAAAGTGGTGAGGACCACCAAACTTCTTTGCACCTAATTTTGGGGCTGTCAACGAAACCTACAAAAAAAATAAGCACAATGGGGACGGTATCTCAATAAAAACAAAGCTTATGTTAAAATAAATATCTGGGGATATTATATCTAAATTTCAATATTTAAAGATATAAATAATGATACAGATATCTCTCCAAGAAACCTACCAACATATCAGGTTTAATGCCTGAACCATCAACGTCTCCCTCTTCAACATGCCACCCAGAAGGTATATCTACAGAGACTATAACTGATCTTTTCGGGCCAATTTGATTATGACTATGTAAAGAGACAAGTCTCTGGATCAAATCATCAAAAGGAGGCCTTGGAGAACCTAAACAAACAGAAAATAATAAAGTAAAATAATGTGAAATCAAATGGTATTATTTGTTCAAAAACCCATACAGTAGTTTGGAATTCAGAACCTGTATTATTTGATAAACAAAGAAGGCATATTTAATTTAATTAAGCTATAGTTTATAATTGTAGCAATGATATTGATCCTAGCAGGGATCCCACGAACAACCCACCCAGAGTTCTCAGGAGACAGTGAGCATCAAAATATCAAGGAAGCATGCTTGAATAAACAGCTAAGTAGCATGAGCAAGATGATGATTAGAGGCATAAAAACAATGGTATCAGTTTCATGTTCAGTCCTCTGGTTTTCAAACATAAGTGAGTGAGAACAATGTAGATGTTCTAAATGTACATCAATTGCAATTGCAATCAATCTCTTACAAAGAAAAATGTAACCTACCATGAAATGAGAATCCAAACATGGCATCTATGAGAATGTCAAAGTCATTTGAAATATCTGACGGTAGTTCTTCCACCGACAAGAATGGGATTGACAGTGCTTCAAGCTACAGCATCAACATTTCATATAAGACTTACATAGACAGCCATGGTTCAAAACTACATCAAAACGAGTTCAATCCTACCTGAGTAACTAATCCAGCATAGAGAGGCTTGGGGGTACGCTTCGGGTAACAGACGAAGGGCTTATACCCAAAGTGATGCAAGTGCCGAGCAGCTACCAGACCATCACCCCCATTGTTACCAGGACCACATATAGTAAGAACACGATTATACTCACTCGGTTTGTAAACCTATTAAAGAAAAACAATTCAAGCACATAAGCATCAGTATTAATAGACAAAATTTCATAGAGAAAGAGAGGAAGGAATTCTCGTTTCATTCTAGTGTAAACTAGACCCCAACAAAAATACTTTCATGCATAATTGGTTACAAACTTCACAATTATTGTTATTATTATTATTGTAAAACTGAGATGAGTGGTTGCAAAGCAAATACCTCAGAAATGGAAGCAGCGACACTTAAACCAGCCAATTCCTGAAATTAGAAACGAAAGGCGTTGAGAAACTTAAGCAACGAATTAACACATTAAAAACATGTAACATGAGATGAAGAATAAACCATGAGCTGGTCGACGCTGAAGCCAAGAGGACCCATGAGTGTCTCGTCGATCTCGGCGGCTTCTCGCTGCGTTAAGTAAGTGACGGAATCAGCGTCGAAATTCGCCATGCTTTGGGCCAACGCACAAGAAGAAGAAGAAGCGGTCGGTGTGGGGCCACCCTTGAACTTGGTAGAAAACGGCCGAATTGGAAGTCGGAGAAAACCCTGAAACAAAATTCGACTTAGAAACGCGAAGATTTGAGAGAAAAACATTGATTTGATTGGATAGGGAATTGAATTGCTTACGGAGAAGACTTGAAAGAGGGGATTATGATTAATATGGAGAGAATGAGGGAAGGTGGTGACGTGTGGAGTTTTATGGGTTTGAGTGAGTGTGTGTGTAAGGCATAGACATTTCATGCTCCTGATTCTTCCCTTGGCCACCAATGAACGCATTGCGCTTCTGCATTTCCCCGCTTTGGAACTTCACTCAGAGTGGGTGTAAGTTCCTAACATCACACCAACAGTTTAGTGGTCATAAGGATATTAAATGATATCATAATCCACCGTCTTCGATTTTTTTTCAGCTAAACAGCCAAGCTTTCCCTGTCTATAGTGTAAACAATAAAAGGTTTAATTGGAAAAAAAATGTTTAATTAATCGTTATTCATTTACTTTTTGTTGTAATATCAATATTAATTACTCCTTGTATTTCACACAATTTTAAGTTTTAGTTATGTAGGGAA